GGCTCCTCATCCATCCCCATAATGCTTGAGAAATAATCATTAAGAGCCTAGACAGGTAATGCAAATAGCAGAAGGTGAGTGAAACAACTGAGATGGTGTTTGGCATTGCCAGAAAACATTCTGGGGGAAGTCATGATATTCATTCCTGTTTGCAGCCAGCAAACACTGGTTATTGCTCATTTGTTTCTTTTCTGCCTTGAAAGTAAAGCTTCTAAACTATGCAATACTGCATTTCCATTTCAAAGCAGCAGACATTTCCAGCCTGTGGAGCCTGGTTTCTGGAAGCACAGTTCCAGTGCTCTGACAGGAACATTGTGCTTGCAGGCCTTTTGGGTTAAGATTGGAAAAAGTGCAATGGGACTATATTATGTTGAATTTCATTATGAGGAGGAAAGGGACAAGAGAGGATGCAGAGGTTTAGTAAAATGGGTTGAGTCTTGCTTTTTTCTCCTTATGAACATGAACACTCCTCACACTGGGACAGTATGAGGAATGCCCTGGTCAAATCCCAAGAAATTACTGGGCACCTTTTGCTGGGTGATGGATGTTTTTCATAATCTCATGGCGTTCAGCCTGTTGTCATTATTTGAGTCCCAGGAATGGCCCTGCCCCTCTATCACCACTCTCAGAAATAGATACCAGATTAAGAAATGCATTATGAACACCTTAAACTGGCAGTTTCACAAGTTTTAGTGATCTAAAGTCAACAGTAATAAGGAAGTAACATGGTCTTTGACATTACTCTGCTTTTCTCTCCATCTCAGCTGTAGTTTGAATCTGGGAGTATTAATACAGGGTTTGCTAGCAATGGGTTGGGGATATCTGCAGAACAGATTCATGGCAGCTAGTACCTGATCTAGGCCACAGAGATGCCCTGGGGATTTAATTACATCATAGCAAATGCTCCTAAGCATATTCAGAAGGAAAATGCAGACGGCACATTGCTCTTCCCACCTGTTTTTGTTGTTGTGGTTGTTTTCTGACTCTCTCTCTGGGGCCTATGCAGTAATAAGCAGGTCAACATAATCACTTTGTAATGAGAAAGAAATGTAGAAATAATATTTTTATATATTAATTAAGGGGGAGAGTTAATTGAAAATTTTCTGTATTTTTAGGGAGTATTGACTTTCTATTTGGCCTTTTTACCGACATAAATCCTTCAGTGGTACAGCTCTCCCCAGGCAGCTGCCATTGAGAATGATGCTTAAAAGTTGGGACAGCCTCAGGAGATATCCCCTGAGAGTGGATTGCAATGTTCTGGGAAACCACCCTGTTCACCACAATAGACACAGAAAGACAAAAGCATCTCTGATGGCCACAGCTGCTGTATTTTGGTCACAGTTAGGATGTTCTATAAAAGGCCAATTATGTATACAGATAACTACTCTCATAAAAATCATAAATCCTGGATGGGATCCCAAGAGTCTACCTACTTCACCTTCCTGATAAAGTGATAAAGAGCACTAATGATGGAGATGCCATAGTCTCTCTAGGAAGTCTGATTGCTTTACAGTGCTTCACTGTCTACATAATGTCTAACCTGAATACCTTAGAAGTCTGAAGCCATGATTTCTTGTCTTATCCAGAACTTTCATGAAGAGCAAATTGTTTTTTCTCTCCTTTTAGCAGCCTGTGAAAAATGTTGCTATCTAAATATCATAGAATCATACAATATTTTAGGTCAGAATGGACCCCTGGGAATTGTCTAATCCAACCTCCGGCTCAAAGCAGGGCTAACTTCCAAGTTAGCACAAGACCATGTCCAATCAAGTTTTGGGTATTTCCAGGGACAGAGATACCACAGTGCCTCCAGGCTCCTGCTCTGGTCCTTAACCAGCCTCATATGACCCTGGATTGGCACAACCTTTTAATAACAGGATGGCATTGTTGATTTACGATCATCTGGTGACCTCCAGCAATCTGCAGGCCTTTTTCTGTAGGACAGCTGTATTTCTAATTGAATGGACTAATTCCCCATCCTGTATTTGGGTAGCTGATTATCTCTGCTTAAGTGCTGCATTTTGCATTTGATCATATTGAATACCATCCCATTTATTTCTGATCCTATTTCCAGTTTGGAAACATCATTTTGAATTGCAAACTTTTAGCATACTAGCACTCTTTGCTGGAATTATGTTGTCTGTACATTCTGTGGTAATGCTCTTTTCTGCTGAAAATATAATACTCTCTTTCCCTTTGCGTGTGGTCATACAGATTCATTCATTTGCACCTCTCAGAATAATGACAGAAGTGCAAAGGAAGAGTCAATCTGCAAGGGATTTTGCTAATAATTGGACTGCAAAGATAAAACAGCAAATGGAATTGATTCAAAATCCATTTAAAGGTGATTCCAGTGTGTTCAGCATGTTTGAGATCAAGCTTGAGACAGGTTTGCAGCAGAGGAAATTTATCTGGGGACTTTAGAGAGAGGAAGAATGTTTAAATTGATTTATTTAGAATTTTATTATTTTTTTTTAAATCATGGTTTGAAAGCTAGCTCTTGGTGGGAGCTCTGTGCACACAATGAGCGTGTTTGGCCTTGAGCACATGTATATGGTTTTAGTTAAGCCAAGCTGGCCACACTCATTCCACCCTGCACATGATCTCATTCCATGCTCCTTGTCATGGTATCTGCACACCATCCAGCAATATATTAACAGCGTGAGTAACGTGTCTTATGTTGATTATTCTGTCACCAAGGGAGAAGTGTGTCTTGTCTGGTAGGGAACTCAGATTGTTTTAAACAAAGCTCTATACTTATGCTGGAGAAAAGTCAAGAGCTGCGCCTTGTGTTAGGAGAAAGAATTGGGAAGGTGTATGCTGGCCCTTGGATAAGGCCATTTTTTGAGTCAGACCAGCTACAACCAGAGAAGATTGCGGTTCCTGCACTGACAAGCTCTCCTTGCACTGTGGAAAGGCCATTTGCACTGCTGCCAGCATGCTTCATCAGTTCATACTCTGTGACACTTGGGGCACCTCCAAATTCTCCTATTAGTCTAGGAAGAAAAATGCTCCTAATAGTCTTTATTTTACATTTAATGAAATGGCCAGGTTGGTGTTAGAAATGCAATGTGCTGTGTGTCAGCCGAATGGAAGAAATGTCTCCAGGCTGCAGGGAGGAGAGCGAAGGCATGGAAAACTTGTTCAGCTGCTCAGTGTTCATATTTGTTCTGTGTGCAGTGAACAAGCTGAAATCTGTGCCCCTGCTGGGCCTGTTTACAGTGTGCGTTACCCACAGGGCAAGTTTTCTGCTACAGTCATCTGTCAGATTGGAGGGGAAGGGCCATTGCTAGTGGCTGTCATTAGAAGCTGCATCATTTTCTTTGCGTATTTACTGAGCTAAACTCCAGCCTCAGCCCCCATCTGTGTGATAAAGGAGGTGCCTCTCTACAGCATCTCAAGTGTGAGAGCCCCAAAGCCCTTTATAGAGGCTAATTCAACTTCAGACTGTGCCTGGCAGCAAAGCGCTCCTCATTTGAAAAGGCGTAAAGCTGGGTGACTGAAAGCTGAAGCTATTTGCCTCTTTTCCCATATGCAGTCCTCAGAACAGATTTTTGACCCAAACATGCCTTCCCTCCCCCCATCCCTGTCCTACACTTAAATTTCTCAGTCTTGTTCTGCTAAAAAGGGCAGGAGAATCTGGCATTGGCTGATGCTGTGCTTTTGCTTTTTTTTTTTGCACAATCCACAGTGGGCACTTGGAGTACCAGCTTCCCAGGTTGGGTCCTCCTTGGCTCAGTAGCTTCCCTGCAAATAGGAACTGAAGGATCTTTCTGGTGCATGGGGTTTTCCTGGCCTCCTACTGCTGCTTTTTCTCTGGAGAGTAGCCTCCGACTCATCAAGGACACTGGAGATCCAAACCCTCTGTGTCTCTCAGCTCCTTATATGGTAACATGAAGAAGTCTTGGCATTTTAGTTCTGATTTGGAGTTACCCTGGTTGTCTTCTCAGCTGGGGAACCAGAAGCTTTAAAACCATAGGCAAACTAGTTCTTACCACCCAGAAACTATACCTTGGTTCATGCATGTGTATGCTGCTGTCTCACCACTGTCTTACTGAAGACAGGGCTACATCATAACAATGAAATTCCCCTAGAAAACCTCTGCAGCAACTAGAGTTTTAAGCATTCCCATTTTTTTTCCCTTCTGGAAGGGGGTTCAAGCTACTTGTAACAGCAGAAGAAAGAGGTTGAGACAGAGGCAGGTCAGAGCTTACTCTTCTGGCAGCACATGAACACAGAGGAGGTGGTGGGCAATGAGGGCAGGAGGTAATGGAGCTGGAGACACCTAGAAGGCACTTGAAGGGGTTCTTCACTCTTGAGCTATCACTTCCAGACATGCAGGGAGTGGAGAAAATGTTCCTGAACAGGGGGAGATATGTCCTTGTTCATCTCGGAGCATTTTAGTGTCTTATCCCCACCTCTGACAGAAGCCACCCTACAAAAGAGGCAGAGCAGTGAGCAAAGTTTTTCTGATTGCCAAACCCTCATATTTGTCTCTGGGAAGTCCTTGAGTGACTTTGCATGAATTTGTTGGAGCCTGGAATGATGCAGTTTTGCACTGGATTTGTGAAGAGTGCTCTGACAAGGTGACACGTTCTTGTGCTGGAGTCCAGCCCACCCTACTGCAGGCTGTGTCCTTTACTGGCTACAAGCCCATTGCTGGATCTAGTGCTGAGGGTGCGTATGAGCATGAAACCATAAGGAAAGTAACTGCACTTAATGACTAGAGACACATTTAAGGACAGAAACAGAGGGTTTTGATGGATAAAGGAGCTCCAGAAAATTTCAGGGGCTGTGGGAGCTCAATGTTTCTTCAGGGTCAGCTGCTATCATTTAAAAATGCATATGAGGTTTTTTGTTCCTTTCTCTCTTCCACTAGGTTTCATGCTGATGAGACACAAATCCTGACAAGCACTGAGAGCTGCACCCCCTGCTACCTATCCCCAGTGCCTCCTCAGCACCAGTTTAAGTAACTGCAGGTCTTTTTTCTCATGGTGCAGGTTCCACCATATTAGCCGAGCGGCTGGGACTGTCCACACCAAGCTCACCCACATCAACACCCAATTCCCCCACCGTCCTCTGCAGTGGCGTCTCTGACCCCATATTGTCTACATGTGGCTCTGGCCCCCTCTGCAGCTCTATCAGTGGTAAGTGTGGTGGGTTCCCCCACTGTCTTTCCCTTGATTCCCCCTGCCCGCTCCTGCACTGCCGCCTTTCACAGTCTCACACTTGTCTCCCAGAAGGACTCTAAAACCACAATGATCAACAGAATCTCCTGTCAGCTCCCTTGGGGAGAAAGGGAGAGCCTCTGCAAAGGCTATTTTCAGTCTGTTTTATGTGGAAGCTGCTTAGATGCCTAGACAGCAATATTTCTCCAGCCCTTTTCATGATGAAAGGTCCCAAGGGAAGCATCAGAGTTTCTGTTATGCACATGGCCCTCTGACACACAGCTCCTTCTGGAGAGCTGTGTGGCAGTGACATGTTGCATGCTAGTTTAGACTGAAGCTACGGGTATGCCTACAACCCCCCTTTCCCTCTCCACACACCTTCAGTACCCTCATCAGAAAAAGGCAGCATTGATATTTCTAGTATGCCAGTGAATTCCAGTAAGCTTTAGATAAATGTACATGCAGTAGAAAATTATAGGCTGTTCTGCAGCATTTTAAAAACTCCAGGCACCTGCATGATCCCAAGATATTAATGGTGGGATATGTAACTTGCCAAATTCTTGTAACTGTTGTCCAAACCAAGAGTGTTTTTCGCTGAAGGCACCTACCAGTCTCAAGTCTAATACCTGGTGACAGCAAACATTCAGATTTTTAATGGGTTTTGGGGGGAAAAAAGTAGAAATTTTCTCATTATCTTATTACCTTATCTGGCTTCATTGATGAGACCTCATTATGGGTGTTCCACAAGCATAATTACTGCAGCTTCTCATAGCTCTCAAAGTAATGACACACTGTGAGCTAGATGCTGTCCATGCAGGTACCATGCCACCCCTGTCCTAAAGTACTTGTAGCCAGGCAGTGGTCCCACATCCCTGGATTTGCCCTAGAGATGAAGCACTGCTTGTCTTGGGTGGTGCTGCCACCATGTGCCACCCGGCTTCTCCCTTTTTAAAGCAGATGGCTTGATCCATCCCTCCTGATTTTTTCTCTTTTGTTAATATTTAGACAGTGGTTTGAAAACGTGAAATTGCTCTTTGTCCCTGCTATGTGGGAACAGCTGTCTCTTGGTTTGCTCTACGTAGGCAGCAGATCCCAGCAGATGCTGCCTTTCTGCTACCTCGAGCCTTGGCATGTGAACCAGGACTTGGCGAGTGGGACAGTAGGTCACAAGAAGGACCCCTGATCCTGGAGCATCCATTTCTGCTAGGGCATGGTTCCTCCCTCTGTAGCTAGCTTCAGGGCAGAAATTACCCTGGGATGTCAGGAAGCCTTTTAAGCAGCATGAGTGACCCTGTTCTTTGTGTTTCAGGCACAGCTCCCAACTCTCCAATCAGTTTGCCTGAGTCACCCATCTCCCCGTCCGTCTCAGGGCCCTGGGGAGATGAATGCACCATCTGCTACGAGAATATGGTAGACACAGTCATTTACTCCTGCGGACACATGTGTCTCTGCTATTCGTGTGGGCTGAAGCTCAAGAAGATGGCCAATGCTTGCTGCCCCATTTGCAGACGGGCCATCAAAGATATCATCAAAACATACCGCAGCACTTAGAGCAGCAGCAGATGCTGTGGTGGGGACTGGGCAAGTGGGGAGGAAGCTGTGAAACAACACAGGTCTTGGTCTCTATTAATCATCCAGGAGAGTCAAAAACCATCACCCACCACCACCCTGATCCCCTCTTCTATGGACAACAGATGAGATGAGCTTAGATGCTGCTCTTCTACCCGCCAAGCAAGCCCTGGGGCTGAACTCCAGTGTGTCAGGGAAGTTGTGATGGACTAATCTCCCTTGTGGATTTTAAACTTTATCTCAAACAAACCCAGCTGGTGCAATCATTCCTTTTCTACACCATGCATAGGGGAGGAGAGTCTCCAATGTTTTGCAGGGACAGCAAGCAGTAAAAGGTTCAGTGCTACACATCTCCTTTCGGAGACACCCCACATGCAGAGGACAGCTTAGCAGAAGAGGAGAAACAAGCAACATGTTTCCATGCACAGTCAGCCTACTGTAGGAAGCCCTCTAGAAAGGACAGAGTGAGGCAAGCTTTGACCCAGTGAGGGAGGTGCAGTGAGTGCGTTCAAAGTGGGAAGGCTGGGGCCAGTGCAGAAAACGACCCAGGATTTGTGAAGCAAAACCCACCCCATGTCTGCAGGCAGAAGAGCAGCCCCATGATAGCCCCTTGAGGGCTGTCCCCTGCTCCTCCCTCGCGGTTCCCTGGCAGAGGCATTCATGGCGGATTTGGCAGCCAAACACTGGCACTGGCCCTGCTCCCTCCCAGCGGTGTTCAGCCATCTCCTGTTGCCATCTCACTGCATGATGAGCAGTGCTCAACCCCCACCACCACTGATTTGCGTGTGGTCTCCATGCAGCACGGAGGATTCAGCAGCATCGCTGCCCCCAGGGGCCTGCAGGAGAGGGTGATGTGTCTCCCTCACCTTTCCTCCTCCTACCATCCAGACAGCACTTGTGAGGGAGAAAATAAAATAAATAATAAAAATAATAAAAAGAAATTAAAACCCCAACCCCACTGGGGAAGAATGTATAAACCCACATGTCTGCAGGTTTCATTTACTGGTAACTTTATCACTGTGCTTTGAGACAAAACCAGCCAGGTGGTACTCAGCCCTTCACAGCCAGTCCAACAGCGGGACATGGCTGTCCGTAGTGTTAGGAAGAAAGGAAAGAAAAAAAAAAAACTAACATAGCTTCAGGGGTTTGGTTTGCTTTGGTTTATTTCTATAAATCCCCTTCCCTCCTGCCCCAGTTGGGAACCCTGCTGTTCCTGTGGCGGGTGCCTGCAATGGCAGCCCCACGGTTGCCCTGCCAGCTGCTGCTCTGCCATGGCTGCTGGCCTAGCCCATTGCTGCTGGCCCTTGGGCCTGGGCAGGGTGGCTCTGCAGCAGCAGGAGCTGCCTATCTCCCCCCCAGCCCCATCCTGCTGCCTTCCAGGGCCGCGCAGGAGGTAGAGATGGTGGCTGGGCGCTGAAGCGTGATCAGGGCAGGGGCGCAGAAGCAATGGTGTTCACCCCGCCATGTTGCCCACCAGCCCAGGTCGGGGAAGGCCGTGGTATTGCACGTCTCCTGCCAAGCCTTTTCCTGCACCCCAGCACATGGCTGCTGACAGGACAGGAGGGAACAGCGTGACATAGGGATAAAGGTATTTACTATACACAGTCACTCACTGCAGGGGGCATCATGCCCCGCCAGGCAACAGGTAGGGGAAGGAGCACTCACAGAAGCTGCTCCCAAGAGTGCCTGGAAAACATGTCCTCACCCTGTCTTCTTGAGGAAATGAAAAAAAGAAGCTGCTACTAGCTGGAGTGTACATTGTAGAGCCTTTCTCTAAAGGCACCACCATCACTGCAGCCTACCACGGGGGTCTGCAGCTACCCCTAGCCTGCCCCTGTGGGCAATACTAACTTGAACACCGATATTCTGGTTACAGGGATTTACATTATTTCTTTGCATACCTCTCATGTACACCCCTAACCCAACCCTGCCCTGCACCCCAGGCTGGCTGTTGAAAGCCCCAGAGTACGAAGGCTCCTGTTCCCAGACACCCTCACTGAGGGGTGGAAGGAGTCCAGGTTGACATAAGTCTGGGGAAAGTCACAGCAGCCATGCCAGGAGCACAGCTGGTCCACAGGCATGTATCCAGCCTCCAGCTTGCCCGAAGACAGAGCCATGACCAGTAGACAGGGGGAGCCTGTTTCAGTAGTTACACAAATTCCAGTGCAAAGATTTTGGAAAGGACCCAAGGGGTAGGAAGGTGTTGATGAAATAGTGGATATGCGGAAATGTGCAATAAGCAGCCTCCCGAGCCTTCACCACACCAGTGGAACCAGTTCCCCTCTGTGCAGGGTAAGCCAAGGGGTACATTTTATTTTTCAAGAAACGCCATCCATGGGTACCAGTGCAGTGGTGTGAAATCCCTCTTCACCTTTTGAATTCAGAGTGTTTTAATATATAACTGTGTTTTATTGTGGACCAAACTCTAGGAGTTAGCAGAAGCTGAAAGCTCCCCCAGCATCAGAGCTCAAAAATCGGGGTTAAGTCCTGCTCCCAGCATCAGCTGACCCCTGGTTGTGAGCAGGGAAGAGGAGAGCAAAGCTCTCTTCAGGGAGAAAAAAACCCAGCAAAAGCAGTAACAGTAACAACAATCCTAACCTTTTGTTTTGTTCGACTGGTGTAGGTTCCCACGTACCTCCGTGTTCTTGTGTCATTTGCATTTCATTGCTTTACTTTAAGATGTTTTGTGTTCTGTTTAAAGAAAAGAATAACTAATTGTGAAAAATTGGATAACTGTGATTGTGAATAAAGTTGATTTAGGTATCCTGCAACAGCATGGGTGACTGAGTATTTACCACTTCCACAAGCATGGCAAAACACGATGGGCAGTGCAGTGGCAAGAAGCTGAGGTAAGAGCAATGGTGGCATGAGAGCCTCTTCCTTAGGGGGAGCTGGGTGGACAGAGCTTAGGCTTTCCATTTGTACTTGAGGATGAGGGCGTGTTGAGATCTGGGTAATAAATAGGCCCCTGATGGACACCATACACGCATAAGGAATAAAGGAAGACACAAAAGTGAGAGCTAACCACATTCCTGCAAACTTGACCCCCACGGTCCCGAGCCTCTTCACACCCTCCCAAGAGAGAAGCCACAGCTTTGGCTTTGCCTTGTTTGCACAGTCTCTCCCAAATGCCTGGAACTGCAAAAAAAAAAAGCTCTCCAGTAAGCACAAGAAAGAGAAAGCATGCTGTAAGGAAACGCAGGACCCTGCTGCTCAGCCTGGTAGGGACCAGGTAGGGTGCCTGAAGATGAGGCAGAGCAGTAGCAAAATAGGCCACTGTCCCCACTCCAGCTCTGCAGTGATATAACAGTCTAACACCTGATGGGGGAATCCCAGCCCTGAACTGAGCAACGTGTTGAGAAGGCCCACTGACAAGCCCTTGTCTGGCCAAGGGAGATTTGGAGGCAATATGCAGATGCTTCCTCAGCATGTAACAAGGGACACAGGGACCCAAAGGGGATTTGGATTCTCCAGAGTGGTGCCAGTTCCCTCAAAATCCAATAGCTCCTCTGCTGCAGGGATCTGCTCAGGAGCACACCTACAACACCACTCCACGAGGTTTCATCCTCATCCTTTTGTTTAACTATTCAGCAGATGAGAGACGGGCTGGACCACTCCCTTGTCACAGGACATATTTGAGTTGACATCTTCTCCCTCAGTGTGGGTCCTCCATCTGCCAAGGGACAGGGACATCCCAGAAGAGGTGCCCTCGGCCTCTCCAGCTGAAGCTATTCCACACTTAACAGCTCCCCAGTGGCCTAAAACTTTCCAGGACAGGTAATGTGAAACCACTTCTACAACCCAGCTTTCTCCAACACCACCCTGGGGAGCTTTCAGCCGTCGGGATGAGGCAAGTCTGCACTCCAAGAGCTGCACCCAGCAGCCACGGTGCAGCACAGACTTTCCCCTGCGACAAGGCATCCCACCGCCGCAGCCCTCCCTCCCTCCCTCCCTCCCTCCCTCCCTCCCTCCCTCCCTCCCTCCCTCCCTCCCTCCCTCCCTCCCCCCCCCCCCCAGGCAGGGCCATCCCCAGGGTTTGCCCGGCGGGGGGCCAGCTGCGGCACAGCCCGCGGGGCCCGAGCCCACGGACCGCGCTGGGGGCGCGACGAGAAGTTTGAGGAAGGAGAGAGGGAGGATGCTCCGAAAACGGTCCAGGAGCGGCAGAGCTGGTCCAGCATCGCCACCTGGTGCTCCGTAACCGGCACGGCACACAGCCTCTTCTCACACACACCCCCCCACCTTTCATTTGTTTTTTTAGTTTTCCTCCTTCTCCAAAGGCTGATTTTACTCCTTTTCACAAATACTACAAATACACATAAGTAGGATCACAAAAAAAAAAAAAATAATCTCAGTGCAGCACATTTCTGGTAGTGGCTCACAGAGAAAAATGGGGAATGAAGGGAGCAATTAACAGTGCGTTACAATATACAAGGGGATACATTAGTATATGGTGGTTGCACTAGTCCAGAAAAACCCTTTCAACCCTAAGCTGGCTGGCTCACTCTACAGACAGGGAAGGAGGGGGCACAGTTCTCAGGCACACTTGTCACTAAGTCTGTGCCTTAAAATGACCAGGACATTGTGCTGCCTCAGATTTAACTCCTGGCATCCTTCAGAGAGCTGGGGGTACCCAGACAGGACTCCTCATGCACCATCCACCTATGTGCCAGCATGGAGGAATATCTCATGGGCACTGTCAGCAAATGCTGTGCCTCCAATGAGACCTGGCTCATCTCAGGGCCTGAGTGAGACTCATTTCTCCGCAGGCTGTTTGTGAAGTGCTGCAGCACATGGTAGAGGCATAGCCCCATGCTAAAATGAGGGATGCATTCATGCAAGGTCATTCTCTGCTGCAGGAACAAAAAGTGGGGGAGGGCCAACCCCCCTCTGCACTCCGGCTTTCCAAGGTGGCAGCCAGGCACCAGGCACGATCCCTTTTACCTACAGATTTACAAACTGCTACCAGACAATGAGGAAGTGGACAACACTTCATAGAGGGCTCCTATAGCCGAATTGGGAACTGAAGTGCTAGAAAACAGCCTTGTTTCCTCTCTACTACTACATCCTCTATTACAATCCACTCCCCCATTATATCCCCTAATCCACTGCCTTCTGCATCCCCAAGAGATGCCCCATACAAGAAGCAGGGATTCATTAGGAGAAACTTCAGTTTTACCCATCTGTTGCTTCACACAGCAAAGAACTTCTACTTGACCTATCTGGGGCCTCCAGCCTTCAAAGTCAGGTAAGAGGAGTCAGCAGGACCCAGCAACCTTGCAGGATCAGATCTTAATATCCCGTGTACAAGCACAGCCTACTCTGCAGCATGCATGCAGGGGGTTAAGGGCTCACCCCAACTTACAGAGCAACCCTTTTATCACAGAACCAAAGGGCCACTCATGTAAAAGGATGCTTTTCTTATTTTGGATCTGGTGCTACATCCTTCTCCAAAAAACATCCTGATAGAGTATTTTAAACCTTAAGACCTTGCTTAACAAGGACAAAAAGTCTTTATATTTGAGGGCAGAGGTAAACAGTCCATAAGACTTTGTGGATTTGAAAAAGAGACAAAAATACAGCATATAATAACAGCTCAGGGCCAGGGGACAAGAGAAGCTCCTTTATCCATTTAAGCTTAAACTGAAATTTTCAATTACATGTACACATCAGTTGTAAGTTATTCTGGGAAAGCTAAATTCAGTGGTTTGACAAACACAAGTGGAATTAAAACAGTACTGAAAAAAAAAAACAAAAAAACCCAACAAAATAAACCAACTGGATCACAATTAAAAAGGTCAAAAATTTATTTTTCCTTAGGGCATAAGAGGCAATGTAAACAAAATACCAACAAACAAACAAACAAAATAAATCACAAGTCAATTCTTACAGTCTGCAAGCATTTGAAGATAGAGTACCCTTTTCCCATCTCCCCCCTGAACACTGCAAGCCTGCTCAAATGTTAACAAGCAACAATTCTGGACCCTGAAGGGCCAGTGAGTTTTTCCATGTCCCAAGCTGGGACTAAATTTCTCATGTAAGAAGGACACTGCATCTGTTTTATCAAACACTTAAAAAGTCCAACAAAATATAAATATTACAGACAAAGATCAGATTTAGCACCACCTTTGGTCCAAGCAATCAATGAACTGGGAGATGACCAATACAGCCTGTTTAGCAAGTCCTTTCTGCCTGAGTCTTTGAAAACATTAGAGGTTCACATTGCAAGAACTTGTGAAACAGCCCTCAAACTCTGGCAGCCCCTCACATCCTCCCGAGGTACTGCGCACATGGCGAGGAGAGCACCATCGCTGTGCAGCGCTGCACAGCGCCAGTGAACATCACTCAAAGCTCTTGGCGGAGCTGAGCTCGGCCCTGTGGGACACGGCAAACATTGTGCCAAAGGTCTGATCCTGCTTTGGCCCAGCAGAGCTCTGACTTTGGGCACGGCTGAAGAGCAGGAAGCGCAGTGACTGTGCATCCTGAATCTCCCCTTCCACTAGCATTTGCCACCCTTTGAAACCCAGCAGACTGCAGCACCTGTATGTCAGGGTGTGTGATGGCAGATGCCTGGAAGGAGCTGAAGTTGCCTAAATGAAAGTTTGGAATATACCTGGAACATGCAAATCAGGAGGTTTTTTTATCAAGCTTAGTTTACTGCAGGTCCTTTTTAAGCTCATCTTTTTCAACACACACATGTCCATCACATATGCATGGCTATGAATTTTTGCAGAGAAGTGTCATTACACAGTTGCTATGCCACAGCAATAGTGTGGGCCAGGATACAGTCATAAAGATCTGTGACAATCCTAGAAAAAAAATTAAGTTCATAAATCATCTGGCAGTATTTATTGAAACTCCCTCTGCAAGTGTCCAGAATTCAAGTTGTCTTTTCTTTTCCTCCAGGAGTTTTTGAGTAGTCTTAATTAATCATTATTAAATGCTGTTCAATTACAAGATAACACCAGCTCTAATAAATGCCCTAAGAGAAATGCCAAGATCTACTTTTAGGCACAGCACCATGCAGTTCTTGCTCTGCATCTTCACAACTGCTTAAGACAATTTGTGTCTCATTCCCTGCTGAGAGACCCATGCAGAGTTTTCACCTTTACAGGCACAGACATGATTAAAATCCCCCAGACAAACATTTGTTTTCACTTCACTGCTTCAGAACATGCTGCTCTGGGGAAAAAAAAACCCAAACCTCAATTGCTTTATATTGTTCTTCAGTTCTCCGAGGAAACACTTGGGCACGACACATGGCCTTTTGGCAGCCATGGGGAAGAGGGCAGCCCCACCATGTGCAGCCCCTGTGCCACAAAGGGCAGCAAAACCCTGACCCAATCACCCACGCCTGTGACATGAGCAGACACGGGCTGGTCTGGTGATATTCAATACCCCGTTTACAGCGCTTGGCCTATGACATAACCATGAGGACATCTCAGAAACAAGATCTGGACTGGGCACTAAAGTCAAGTAAAGTCTGCCAGTCTGGATGAGGGGGAAGATAATGCTTTGTGCAATTGTTTCCCCCCACCACTATTATATCCAGAGCAAATGAAAATATTGTGCTATGACAATTTCATTATTTCTCACTGGGACGGAGACGCACTTCTATTGTCCCAGTCCCACAGAACCAGACCCACAGTACCGTATGTATCAGCTAAATCATCACAGGTCCCCAGGTGATCTGTGTTAAAGCTTGAGGGACATTTCTACATGGTCACTTGGCAAAAAAGAGAGGTATGTTTTCTCCACTGATAATGTATCTTTT